GTCAGGAGGAAGGCATGAAAGTGCCTGGCTAGAAACCCACCTTTGCGGAGCAAAGTGAAATCTGAAAATATGCCAGCTGCAATGAAAGGCTTTGTAAAATTAGGAATTTTTGTAACCTTTGTTGGCCTTGCTCTCTATTACTATCCGTAATCGAAGTATAATACAAACTAGTTTGTTGAGTACTCTGTCCTTGGTGCCCCAAACGTGCTAATTTATGTACTCACAGGTATCTTATTACTCTCATTTTACAGTTGAGGAAATGGGAACAGAGAGGTTAGGTGACTTGCCCAAAGTCACACAGCTAGAAGGGATTGGCGGTGGGAGCTAACTCTAGACTCTGTAGCGCCGAAGCCACAATCCTAACTTGTACCCAGGGTCCCTAGCCACCCCCTCGCTTAGGTGCAGTGACACAACCTGTTCCTAGTTATGACACAGAAACATGCTTGGCAATTTTCCACATTTCAAGATAGAAGGATGCCTGGCTCTACAGGAGGATTTGAAGGTTCATTCTATCAGTTGAAAGACTTAGAATATTCTTGTTTCTTTATAAGCCAGCGGGGTACATAATATGATGAATTGGGGCACAGAAAGAAAACATTGAACCTCTTTATATTTGTTTCATTCTTTCAAAGTTTTCATTTTTGCACATGTTATAATCTATGCATTTATAATCCATGCATGTAAGTTATAAATAAATCCACAAACTTTGAAGAGGTACATGCGAAAACATTTTATTTGTATACCACCAAATGAGATTTTGACTATTGCTTGATGCTCTAAGTATATTTATATGAATGTAGAAACCACTTTTGAAGAATCCATCTTGTTTTGAAGCATAGTGAACCATATGATTTAAAAGAACCAATCAGTACATCTTTTTTGCAAAGTGAAATGTAAATTCCAGATATTTCTGTTTTGTATGTCTGGATTTCCATTTGCTGTACTGGTCTGGCTAACAGGGACATACTTGTACTTTCTCTGTGGGCTCAGTTCAGTCCACATACATTTATTGAGAACCCTCTAAATGCCACACACTGTGCTAGGCATGTGAGATATAATGGCCTTGACATTGGCCCTAGAGAAGTTTATAATATAATGGGGTGGACAGGTATATATTTTCAATTGAATGAGATGGATGAGATGATATACATGTGTGAATGTGTTGCTATGGGAGGGTAGGAGATGGCTCTTAGCTTATGCTGGAGCAGTCATAGAGAGCTTTCTGGAGGGTTATTGTTTTTAGCTAAATTTTGAAGGAGTAAGAAGGTGTGGAGGAGTGCCAGGGCACTCAAGGGCAGAACCACAGAGGCTTGTGCTGGGAACTGAAATCTTCTCTATTCCTGGAGCTTACACATGGGGATGAAGCAGTGAGCTCCAGCCGCGAGGTGGTCTGGGGCTTGATCTCAGAAGGCCTGACCTGGAAGGCCTGTGCAGTATATGGGGATATATCCAACACCAAAAGGTTTTATGCAGCAGAACGTTATAGCAAGACTTGACTTTTACCAAAACTATTCTAGTAGAAGTATAGAAGGGAGATTTGGCTGTGGGGGGGGGAGTAAGGGGGGAGGCTAAACTGTAGGCATGGTGCCCACCGAGCTCAGAGGCCGTTTTAAAAGTCTAGGCAGAGGATTATATGAGTTGGGTCAATAACAGTAAGGGTGGAGGCAAAGAACGATGGATTTGAAGAACATCAAGGAGGCAAAGTCAGTAAGACAGTCAGGATGGAGAAAGGGAAAGAGAGGGAGAAGTCATGGAGGACAGCTCCACATGTCTCACTTGGGCAACCAGGAAGAGGGTGGAATAGACAGTGTGCCAGACAGCTGGGTCTGGGGCAGGGGTGAGGAAGGGAGATGCTGAGTTCAGTTTTAGGAAATGATGAATCTGAAATGCTTGTAGTACTTATAGGACCACCCTGTGAATACAGCAGGTTGGACTCTGGGTATTACAGTTTGAAGAGAAAGAGTGGATGGGAGCCAGGAGAGGGAGGGAGTCAGGGCTGGCGATAGAGGGGAATGAGCAATAAATATGGAGACAACTAGGACAGCAGATGAGGTCACCATAAGAGAGCACATGGAATGAGAAGAACTGTGGGCCTGAGACATTGTGTGCTATGGATAGAGAAAGAGAAAGAGAAAGAGGTGGGTCATAGCATCATTATCTGAGGAGGGCAAGAAGAAGAGAGGAGACAGGAGATGAGGAGAGAGATGAGCCAGGAAAGCTGAGGGGGGAGGGGAAAGCATCCCACACCTCTGAGGGGTCAGGAAGATGAGGACTGAGAGGCAATTATAGCTCCCTGCGAAATTATTGTCACTTGTAAAATTAAACAGAAACAGCATTTCTGGGAGTTGGAAAAAAGAAAAGAAAAAGGAAAGAAAGAGAGGGAGCGAGGGGGAGAAAGAGAAAGAAAGGAGCTTCAGTAAAACAGTCATTAAAACTTCCTTCATTTGTAAATTTACAAGTAGCTCCAATGGGCTCTGCTGGATTTTAACCTTAATGATGGCAACAAGGAAAGGGTCTAAGGCAGCGGTTCTCAACCTGTGGGTCGCGACCCCTTTGGGGGTCGAACGACCCTTTCACAGGGGTCCCCGGGTACTCATACATGGGCGTATCTGCATGTGGGCGGACCCGCCTGGAGATGGATAGAGGAGCGGTGTCTCGGTCCCTAAGACCATTGAAAATATGTGTTTTCTGATGGTCTTAGGCGACCCCTGTGAAAGGTTGAGAACCGCTGGTCTAAGGAGTAAATAAATCGAATAGGCGGACTGTATATATAATGTTTAAAACAGTGTTCTGTCCATCTGGTGCTTGCGCAAATCACCCCTGACCAGCATCCAGAACAGGCCCAAGGTAAAAGGGCCTGAGAGTGGCTGAGCCCAGGGCAGTGGCCAGTACAGCCAAGAAGTGATACATATGAAAGTAAAGAAGGCACTCCGTGCTTCAGTTCAATAAGCAATTGCTGGGGGGGGGGGGGGGGGCGGTTGGCTCAGTTGGTTCGAGCACGGTGCTCGTAACACCAAGGTTGCTGGTTCGATTCCCACATGGGCCAGTGAGCTGCGCCCTCCACNGACTTGGAGCTGATGAGTCTTGGAAAGAACATACTGTTCCCCAGTAAAATTAAAAAAACAAAAATAAGCAATTGTTGAGGCTTTCACAGCTATTCTGCACTGTGGGTCAAAAGGACCCAGCAGTCACTTCTACAGAGGCCTGGCCTGTCTCAGGGAGCTTACAGCCTAAGGGCCATAGACTCACTCAATAAGAGGAGAGAGGCCTTCCTTAGCAGTGTCACTCCCCCGAGTGGGTTTCAGCGAAGTATGTGGAGTAAAAGAAGCTAGGGAGGATCTTCCTAGAGGTGGCACTGGGGTTGAGCCTCACAGGGCAGTGAGAAGGCACCTGCCAGGGGAGTGGGGACCATTTCATGCTTTGGGTCACGTTATGGATGAGAGCCAGTTGGCCAGCAATGGCTGGCCAGGCATGCCCTGCTGTCGTGGAAGCTCAGAAGAGACATGATTGGAAGAGATTTTGTTTTAATGAAAAAGAAGACAGGTACCAGTGTGGAATGAGTGCTGGGACAGGAGGGCCAACAACATCTAGAGACAGACAGCCTCCATTCCTTGATAGCCTGGAGGACATCATGTCAGTCCAGCCCAGGCCAGTCACCAGTGCCCGTAACAATAACAGAGTCAAGGAAAGATTTCCTCTGCTGAGATGTTTGATGCATTTTGAAAAGATTCCCATTGAAAACAGTTGCAATAAAAGGTCTCAGGGCTCAATTAGCCTGGCTCTCCCACTGCCTACCTAGTCCCATTCCCCAGCCACACAAGAAAACAGACTGTTCTCATCCACCCTCAAGTACCTTAGGCGTACCTTATTCACTTATAAACAGTTGATACCTTCTTTACAAATGAAGTCTATTCTGCCAAGGACTTCTGCCAGATAAGACCTTGTTAGCTCCATTAGTAGGTACTTGAAATCATAAAGCCTCATAAAAAAGCATAATTTGTTAACAAAAAAACTGTTAACTCTGTGTGCTGGCTTTGCCTCCAGGAAGACTGAATTCCCCAGGGCATTTCAATTGTCTCCATTGCCATTGTGGCTATCTTGGGGACTGATGCCTGCTGATACCCTGTAATCAGGAGCTGTCTTTGTTTTGTAAGGATAGTGCTAGGATCTTTGACTGTTTCTCGGGCCTGGGGCTCAACCCCCTTTCCAGAGGAAGAAATGATGTTTGGGAACCTGGTCACTTAATTCTGAGCTTAGAGGTCATTAGATCATATGTGACCTGAATGTCTCCTCTATGCCTGGATACAATGTAAGATAAAATAGAAGGCATCCTGCTCTGGTATCCAGAATCCAGGTGCAGATGGTGCAGAAGGGGGTGGCAAAAGCTGCATTGCTAGGGCATGTACAGTGCCACCGTCGTGCAGTAGCTTTTCTCACCCATGCGTGCCCATGCGTGCAGGCCCTGCAGGGCGACGGGGCAGTTAGCCGGGACACCAGACCAGAGTAGCTGCTGTTCTGTGATATTTTTATACACTGGTCTTCTTCATGTGATTTTGTTTGAATTAAGAGGCCTGTGGCCCAATATAGTTTGAACCCTGGTGGAGAAATGGTGAGGACCAGGCTGAAGGCCTGGGAAGGCAGGCTTGCTCATGGCAAACGACTTGGAGGAAGAGATTCCAAATTCCAAGAAATGACACATAGGAGACGATGTTTCAAGCCAAGTTTGGACTGTAAAGAGAAACCTGGGAAGCCAGATAGGTGGGGTCCATAGGGAAGTGAGGATGTATCAACAGGCATATAACTTAATCAAAGATGTCAAGACATGGGAAATAGGGAGGGGATGGGAAGTAACTATTCAGTTCTAGGAGGATTCTCTGGAACCCACGGGCAGTTCCCAATTTTTATCTGGGGTTCTTTTATTATTTTTAAAAAGATAACAGCTTTATTGAGATATAATTCACATACCATACAATTCACCCATGTAAAGTGTACATTTTAATGGTTTTTTTTAGTATATTCACAGAGTTGTACAACCATCACCACAATCAATTTTAGAACATTTTCATCTCGTACCTAGAGTTCTTGATTCTACAGAGTAGATGGAGAAATTGGATAAAGAGCAACCAAGATGACAAAAAGATTATAAAGGAGGAGCTCAGAGAGCATGTGAGGGGATGGGACTCTTGAGTCCAAGGGAAGGAGGTTGTGGGAAGATCTGGTGTTTAAAATAGGGACGAGATTTGGCCTATGTCTCCAGTAAGGACAAACAAAAAACTGGGCTCGATTACAGCAAGGGGATTTAGGTAAAACATGAGGGAAATAAAAAACACGCCCGACTTCCTGGCAATGTTTATAAATGCCTGGGTTATGCTGCCCTTAGACATAAAACTGATGAATAGTCATCATGGGGTGACGTTTGAACAATGGGTTCTTCCAGTTTCATGGTGATGGTACAATGATGAAGCATTCCTTCAGAAATGGCTGAGCGGCTGCCCTTCCTGTGACGTGTAGTCCTCCTAATCCCCGTTCAGGGAGAAGCTTCTAGAGAGCCCTATTACATGCTGGATGAGTGATGCCCCTTTGGATTTATGAGTGGAGGTTTCAAATAATAGTTTCCTGGTCATATCAGCCTCATGGTAGTAAACCAGGACATATGTGAGGGGCACCAGAGACCACAGCTACAGATCTCTCTTCCTGATTGTTTCTTGATTAAATTTATTTTTCCAAGAATTTTTGAGCTCCTGTTGTGGGCCAGGTGTAATAGAGACTAGAGATAAAGCAGTTATTCTTACCCAGGAGTGACTTTGCCCCCCGGGGGACAGTTGGCAATGCCTGAAGTTGTTTTTGTTCACAATTGGAGCAGGGGGTGGGGTGCTACTGCCATCTCATGGGTTGAGCCCAGAGATGCTGCTAAACATCCTACAGTGCACAGGACAGTGCCCTACAACAGACCATCTAGTCCCAAATGTCAAGAGTACCAAGGCGGAGAAAACTTGAGATAAAGAATTAGGATTCAGTACCTGCTCTCAAAGGATTTGGTCTGTTCATTGTGGTGTTTCTTAATAGGGCTGGAAATGTGTGCTAATGAAAATTTCTGCATTGAGAAAAGTTCTTCAAGTTCCTTATTTGAAGCGATTATAACTAAACCAAATTTCCCCACACCACTCAGGACTGCCAGCAAGGTGCTATTGATATGAAGGGGTTCATTAGGACAGTATCCAGACAAACTTTATCATCTTTATCAGCAGAGTGGGCCTACGTTTTTATTTGAATGTATATATAGAATATAGTTGGATGGAAAATAACCTAAAAGTTGCGTTAATATAGTAAACCTCTATAGTTCATTGCCTTGAACTTGTTCATAATTTCAGCAGGGCATAGCTAAAATCTCACTTTGCTGAGAAATCCCCTGGTTTAATAATAGTTGCAGATGGATTTGCAACATTTTGGAACAAGATCTTTCAAGCACTCATATATACTACTTACTATAAAAGCAACCGATATGTTAATTAAATAAAATACTGGTTTATTAAAATGGCACCCTAAGGACCTCAAATACACCCTATTTTGTTTCGCTGATGTGGGAGGTCAGATATTTGACCTGGTGGTAGTGAGCTGTTCTGGAAAATTGCCTTTTGTATTTAATGAGGAGTAAAGTCAGCCAGAATGATCTCCAACGCTTTTTTCCCTGCTGTTAAAGTTTTCAACTTAGCAGCTTTTGAGTGTGGCTTTCAGAGGCTTGGCATCCCCATCTTCAGCTCGAAATCTCCCCTTTACCATTGTGCCAAGTGCTCTGGGCGTTCCAGTTAACTGGAATGGTCTTGAAAATAATTGAAAAAAAATCTGTAATTCAGACTCTTCACTAATTTATACTGGTTTTTGCCCCCAAAGGATCCAAATTCCTGTGGGTTCATTGGGCTTCAAACCCAATATTTAAGAATCATCACAAAGTACATATTTTTGAGTTGTTGGTGCTTAAAAACTGAAAGCAGAAAACCCTTCTGAACCTCAATTTCGTCACTTGTAAAAGAGAATCTGAATCCTTTCCTGCCCTGTTTTAGTATTTATGCTATTTATGAAGATAATGACTACATTGACATACTCTCTCAGTAACTGGCTACCTTTCTCTCCCTTCCTTCCTTCCTCCCTTCCTCCCTTCCTTCCTCCCTTCCTTCCTTCCTTCCGTTTGGAATTTTCACCACTGAAGACATATTTTTCATGCTTAAAGTGTGAGAGTTTTGCCTTTGAATCTAAACAAATCTGACCTCATTTTAGAACTTTCTACTCAGTGTCAAGGACTTCCTTGGTTAGGACAGTGACTGCATCCTCTTTTTTCCTCCAGACCAACTAATTCTTACTTTACCAGGAGGAACAGTACCCCCAAATATGGATCTTTGTAACTTATTCCAATTTTTTCTCATTTCTGAACTGAAGCCAGCTGAAGCCATTCTGACAAGTCTGAGCAAATATCAGCATTTATTTGCTCAGACTAATCCTATTTCCTAAAAGACTCCGAAAGGCTGTTCTTTAGGTTAGTTGGCCCATTTTGTTAGCCTAGCATTTTGTGAAGAGATGGGAAATAACATCATGAGAAACCAACAGCCTGATGGAAATCCTGCATGGCTGAAAGCTGCAAGTAGGTTAGGTGGCGACAGTTGTGAGCAGCGGGGCGACAAGAGTGACCACAGCTGCCTGCATCAATCGGAAACAAAATGGGGCCTGAGTTTGCTAGTGGCCTACTCTGTGAGCCATGTGGGAATCACGTACCTCAGACCGGGCACCATGGCTCCAGCCTGACCATTCTTATTTAAGTTTCGTGTGAAAGGCTGCAAGCTTCTGCCTGGGGAGGGAGCATGGAATTGAACCATCAGGGAACCTTAGGGTGACTCTGGTCACAGCAAGCCCTTTGTCTTTCTCCTGAGTCCCGGGCCTGCATGTAGCCAAGTGGATTCCAGTTTCCAGCAAAGGCTAGGAAAGGGAGTAGACAGAGGATGTCGCTGCCCCAGTAGCACAACTCTGGCCCCACACACAACACTCTGGGTATAGCCTTCACAGATCTCAATGGGCAACGCTACAGTTGGTCCCCACCACAACAGTCTCTCCACAGAGGCCCCCAGAGATGAATGGCAAGGCGCATGGGTGGGAAGGCCTGTTGCAGGAATCCATCCTGGGGCTGGGGTGGGGAGAACCACGGCAGCTCAACACCCAGGGTTGGCTGTGGAGCCAACGTTTCCCATCCAACTGGAGCTGACATCTGAAGGGAAAAGTGCATTGCCAGATACGACCAAGAGAAATCTGTGGCTTGAGGTTTCATAATGTCATTACAAGCTACCAAAGCCTTCCTTTCCACCTGTATGTCACTACTCAGCTTTAAACCCTTGCTTCTGAAGGGCAAATTGAGAATTCTGTTCCCTGGAAGCTGGAGAAGCAGCAGCTCTTGGCAGAGCGCTGTGAGGCCAGGGGCTCTGCTGGCTGGTGTAGAGCGACTGCCTAATGCTGCAGGGGCAGAAATGACCGCAAACATAGTGAGAAGACCTCAGGTGAATGGGAAACGCTAGTCCCTAGGCACCTTTGTGCTGGCCGTGTTTGAAACTAGAATACACATGCCATGCTCAGGAAACCCACAATGGGAGTAAAAATGGAAAAAGGCTGCACTATGTAAGCTGAAAGGATGGAGTCTGGCTGGGGCCTTAGAATGGGACTAGTTAGCCTAACGAGAAACAGCTATTTGGTTATTTACCATCGTGTCACACTTTGAGAAAGAAATTTTAATGACACAGGAAAAAGAAAAGCCATTCTGGGTATATGGTACAGGACCAGCTAAAGCTGTAATCCTATACACAGAGGGCCTGGTAATAAAAGAACAGTCTCGAAACTGCTTTTCCTCCTGTTCATGTTCACAGCAACAGCTGGATACATACTAATTGCAAGAAGTGAAAGAAAGAGCTTTAAGTTTAAAAGCAGGCATGCCACAATCAGTCTCTTGCCAGCACAGTTTCCTCAGACACCAGTGTGATGTGCCACCGAGCAGGTCTGTTTGAAATACTCCTTTCTTGCGTGGGTGGCTTTAGGCTGTCCAGAGAGAGCAGCGTACTGTTCTCTCCATCCAGGTGCATCCCGACCATCAAGAAATGGCTTCACCAGGGGTTCTCAGCCTCGGCACTAGTGACATTTGGATTGGGATCACTCTCTGTGGTGGGTACTATCCTACGCATTGTGGGATGTTTAGCAACATCTGGGTCTCTACCCACCCGATGCTAATAGCGCCCTCTGCCTCAGCTGGGACAGTCAAAAGTATTTCCAGGTATTGCCAGATGTTCCCTGGGGGGCATGAACACCCCCTAGGTGAGAACCACTGGGCTAAACTCACAAGAAATGATTTTCTCTTGCCTCCCCAATATTGACCCAGGGCCGGGGAACATTTAAGAGGCCTCTCCTCATCCACTGGCAGCAAATTGGACTTGCAAGACTTCCAGTCATTCAGAACAACACTCTTATTGCCCTTGAAAAAGGTCCTTTCCAGCTACATTCTGGGAGTGGGGCGGGGAGGAAGCAGGTGACTCTCCTTTTTAGAGACCTTTGTTTTTGTCTACAGGAAGTTTAGACAGAATTCTACACACCAGAGTCTCTGTGAACGGGAACTGGAAACTCACCTCCTCACCCCCAACCTCTTTGCCACATTTTTACAAATGAAGAAACCGAGGCCTAGAAGGGGAAGTGACTGGCTCAAAGTCGTAGATATTCCTAATCGTCCTTTTGTGGGGGCTGAGGCCAATGGGATTCTTTTTTTGCCAGAACTTGTAGGGCTTTACAAGCAACAGTTTGGGCCAAACCATGCCAGTTAAGGAATGCAAATTTTAAAAATGATAGAATGCTGCAACCAATTAGTGCAAACAAACATTTATTGTGAAATAGTCATCCTACCCTTTATTAGGTATTACATCATCAAAGCACTTTGTGGCAATGAAAATAGCTTTTTTACCCCTCTGATTCACCCAATATTCCATTAAAGCTGCAAAAAATGTGCAATCTGCTTGAAAAATAGGTTGCTCTTATTTACTCATTTGTGAAAAGTCAAAAATTAAAAAAGAAAATGATACTAGCTTACAGGCCTCTGGAACCAATTTGTCTTCCTGCTTCCCAACTACTCCCCAAAATAATTAACAAAGATAATTTGTTTTAAAATGCCTTTTTATAAAACCAATGCACCTTTCCTCATATTATAATCATAAAAACTTTTAAAAGCCATTATTTACTTTCTTGGAAAAAAGGTGGCCAGCCGTTGTTTTTTGATCGGGAGCATGTGTATTTCCTGGGAGTTCACTTTCTTGAACTTTATGCTCCGGTTTTTTACAGATTTCCTAAGGGCCTCTGTGTTTCCCATGGACTCTTCTCCTTGGCCATTGATGTCGTAGCCCTGAAACACGGAGTCTTCTCTTTTGAAGGAGAAGTTTTTGGTGGACACGCCCGAGAGCCCTTTGATCTTGCCACAGAAGATGGTAGGCATGGCGTCTTCCACTGAGACAATCACCTTGGGCGCCTGGGACTCGCTCACCATCTCAATGTGATTTTCAGCCTTCACCTCACTGCTGGGCTGGCAGGGCTGTCTGGGCTGGCTGAGCAGCTGGGCAGTGTCGTTGCTGTGTATGTGGCTATTCATCATGGCCGAGGCCTCATAGGTCATGGCAGGGACAAAGGGCATTTCCATGCCTCTGGGCAGTTTCTCCTTCACCATGTGACACGGGCTGTCCACTGACCTACTGCTGTTATACAGAGTGGCAGGAGGAGGCTCAGATTTCCGGTGGGCTGCTAGCGACAGGTCTAGGGCTGCGTCCTCCTGGCAGACGGGGGGAGTGACCTTGCCAGCCTTGAGCCAGGGCACTGACTTCATGGAGAGATCCAGGGCCTCGTTCTCACTCCCCATCTTGATGACCGTGTGGCGGCCGAGCTGAAAATACTCCTTGGGCTGGAGGATGTTGAAGGGCTTCAGTTCCTCCTTCTCCACAGAGGTCTGGGTGCCTTTAAAGGGGTGCAGGCCGAAGGAAGATGGCGGCTTGGAGAAACTGGGGCTGAACTTGGACTCAGAACTCTGAGGCACTGGGATGGGGATGGGAATGGGGATGGGCACAGGCAAGGGGACGATCACAGGGTAGGGCACCAAGAGGGTGGCTGGTGGGACCAGGGGAGACAAGGGGGGGTTAAAGGGCTGGGGGGGCACCGGGGCATATCCAGGAGGAGGCTGACAGGGTGGGGGGCCCAGAGAACCCTGTGAGGGAAACAAATTCTGGAGCACAGCTTCAAATGGCAACGTGGGCTCCTGAGGCTGGCTGGGGATGCGTAAGTCCAGGAGCTGGGGCTGGGCTTCGGGGTCCTCAGCAGCCTGGAAGAGGTTGTTGTGGATGGCACTCGAAGAGCATGGGGCCTCCTGTGGCAGGACCAGAGGAGAGTTGAGGTGCTGAAACACATGCTGCTCCAGCACCACGGGCAGCTGCATGGGGCCCTGTGTGGTCATAACATAGGTGGCATTGCCGTTAGGGTTGAGCTCGGGCGTGGAGCTCCCCTCCACCTGCATGTGAATGGGCATCACCACTGGGGTCTCCCCGAGGCACAGGGGCTGCAGCACGGTGGCCGCCACCTTTAGAGCCATGCCACTCTGGGACTCGGCTGGGGGGTTCAGAATGGATGGCGCCGGCACCGTCACCAGGGCCTTCTTTACCAGGTCTGTGGAGTTGATGTTCCAGGCCTCGGTGGTGATGAGCTGGGCCATGCCGTTCTCCAGTCTGTTATTGGCCAAGGCAGGAGAGGAGTCGGTCATGTCCATGGAGAGGTTCTGTGACTGCAGATTGTCCATCACTCGCCTCTGATGCCACTCCACCTGCAACACAGAACACACAATAGAAATCTTCCTTTGGAGACTATTGATAATCGCCTGAAGAGCTCTCTCCACCTCTTTTAAAAGTTTCCATATCTTAGTTAACCGAGGAGCACACCCATCTCTCTATGTATACATGCATGTTAGAGATACTTCCCAATATATACGAACACACCCATGTGATCAGCTGTGCGTAGAGAGCCCCAATCTAACAGATGATTTTGCTATAAACACAGATGATGTAATGACTAAATAGCCAAGTGAGGTTAAACAGTATCTGCAAGCCTAATACTCAGCTTATATGTTTAGCCTTCAACAGACACAAAGTCTCATTCCACATTGCTACATCACACAGTTGAGATATGCAGAGATTTGTCTTGTTAAAATTCAAATAGGCAGCAGAGGCTTGTTCCTTTAATGAAAAAAACCCTGTCACAGTGGAATATTCTATGAAAATGGAAAGGGGCTATCCCAATTACGGAAAGCACTTTAAAAACTCTGTAGCAATACTTCTTCCCCAAAAAGGCTTGATAAGAGGAACAGCAGTGCATTTCAAGGGGGTCATTACAGTCATCTCGTGGTCTCCCTCCTACCAGTGACATCCCCTTTCCTCCCAATAAAGGAAAATCCACTCTGCAGAGCAAAGTGAAGATGCAATAACTTGCATAAATACTTGTAGGGTTCACTGTCACTTTCCCCAATCAGCTCATCTGACTGGCCCACGGCCTCTCCTAACTTCTAGCTGTCAAGAGGAAGGGCTGTTCATGATTCTAGGGCTAGGGAAATGGAACTCATCCTCAAAGGTGAGATATGCTCTCTTGATGTCCTTGGCACCTATGGCCACCTCCGGAGAGGCCGATGGAACTGAGCACCGGTGCTTCCTGGAGGAAGCACGAATGCAGCCGCGATATGGCTCTCCATGGAAATGCGTCCATATTTAGCCTGGTTACCATGGAGAAGGCAGGCACCATGTCTAACTCCAGGATCTGTGCAGCCCTGGAGTCTGGTTGGGCTCAATAACTCAATAATCCTTGGTCTCACTGGGAAGGCTTTGGGCAACTCCAATTCTTGACCTCACCTGTCAGAGCTGTCTACACTTTAGTCCTGAGCTCATCTCATCCTCCTCTTCTCACCCACAAATGACCAACACAACCTCCAAAACAAGTAAGAGAAGGCACCCAGCACACCGTGGGATTTGAAATAAACAAGGCCTCGCTACAGGAAGGTGGCTTAACAAATGAACAACTGTGATATTTCCAGACAATCCCAACGTGTCCAATGCATGAAGCAGGGGGAGGGGAGGGCAAGGGGAACGAAGCTGTGCAAAGCATTACTCTGTGGAGAAAGTGGTGGGGGACACACTTGGCAGAGCGTACCACAGTGCCTCTGAGGGAGGGGCTCCAGAGCCTGGGTCTCTAGGGGCAGGCTACCCTCTGGAAACCATGAAGTGACTATGCTAGTCAATAATGCCCTTGGAGCAGAGTAGAGAGGTAAGCTGTCCCCAGGAGGCTGAGGGGGTTTGCTCCAGTTGCAGGGCCTGGTTTTTCCTGAGAGGCATGCTCCCTGATTCAGCCCAGAAAACACCAGCTCACCAATACACCATTCACTCATCCAACCAATTAATTTGTTGAATGCCTACTGCATGCCAGCACTCTGCTGGCAGCTGGAGATGTCATGAGTCAGACAGACAAGGTTCTTGCTTTCATGGAGAATACAGTCTAGTGGGGCACATGTCTGATTGGACAGGGATTTGCTAACATGAGAAGGCATAAAAGTTATGCCAGGAGAGGCAGCAACATCAGCAGGATAAAGCTTTGTTGGCCACTTACTGGCAGCCCCGTGAAGGCCCTGAGAACCTAAGGCCTCCTCCAGAAAGGTCTGCCCTATCCTTCTGAGTGGTCAAAACTCTCAGGGGGCGGGGAGAAAAGGATGAAAGGAAGCTGGGTTGGGGGCTGGTGAGGACAAGGACAGCAACGGTCAGAGGAGGCACCCATGGTCACCCATCTGAGGTAGCTTCTGATGGCCTGCAAGTCAAGTCACTGGGAGAAGGCATGTTCTGTGCTTCCTGTGGGTTTAGCATTAGCTGGCAGCGAGGCTGCTGTCTCATGATGGGCTGCACCTGTCTGCCCTCCCAGATGTGGCGGCCTCCCTCCCCCTCTGCCTCCCTCAACACCACCCGCCTCCAAGGGAGAGACAGCAAACTCCTCAATGCCTCCTCGCCCTGCTCCTGACACACCTTCTGCTCAGGTGCCAGCTCTCATCTCTTCCTGCAAAACCTCACTCCTCTCCCTGCCTGGCCCTGGTTTTAGGCCTGCTACTCCGCCGGAAACTTCTTGCTTAGTGAGAGGAGGGGACCTCTCCAGGGTGGGGCTCCTCCCACAGATAGCCAGAGCTAAAACTCACTGTCCATTTGCTATGTGCCAGGCCCTCTGCTGAGAACTTTCCATGCATTACCTCATTTAATCCTCAGAACAACCCTACCGGAGGGGTCCAATAATTATACTCATTTGATTGATGAGAAAACTGATTCCACAGGAATCATTAAAGTTGGGATTAAAGTTCATGGTCAATCCCAGGCTCCTTCTCCCTGTGGGAGCTGTGAGGGCCACGCCCCTCCATGCATTTTGTTTCTTGGCAATGTTACCGGCCAACCGAGCAGCACCTCCACCACTGAGAAACTTTTAAAAGTTCTTTCCTATAGAAATGTTAAGTCTCCTCCCTAGTTTCTTAGCCCCTGGCTTTGATTACTTTTCTAACCAGTTTGTGAATCCTAAAGATTGCTCCTAGCCTGAATCATAGAAGTCTCTTACCCCTGCTTCTTGATTGCTTTGTAAATCAGTTTCTGAATCTTAAACAATAGAAGTCTCCTGCTCCTGCTTCAGATAACTACTTGAAAGCCTGTGACTTCCTAATATCCCCCAGGCCAGTAAGCTAAATGCCAAACCCCAAACCCATTCTGGGATCAGACAACTGACGCCACCTGAGTGACAGGCTGAATGGCCACAGGCTTCATGAGAGCTAACAGATTTATTAATTAAAATCTATTTTCCCTCATTAAGGGACCTTGGGGATACAGAGGATACCCCAACAAGATTGCCAGTCACAACCAAAGAAGCCAACACGGTCTTCCAGGCGGAGCTCGAGACCCCTTCCTCTCATCTGAGATCAGCTAGGGTGAGAGTTCCGTGAATCCCCCAATAGGCAGGGACAGCTCTACGCCCCTGCCCAGCAGGAAGCAGATACAGAAGAAGAGACCTCCTGTCCCTCAGCTTCCCATAGAGATTTTATGGGGATCACGTCTCTCAAGGGGAAAACAAAGCAGGCACTTAGGGGCAGGCATTGGGTCTATGCATTCCTGCACGTCCCACAGAGTGCAACCGCCAAGGGGACATCCCCTCTCCACCCAAAACTCCCCTTTGTATTGTAATTACCTACCTCTTCTGGAAAACAAATGGGTGCAAAATACCCAACTAGATCAGACCAGTCACTCGCACCTGTGCAGTACCTCTTGTCAATCACAGGTGCCAATCAAGTGGTCCCACGCCCTTAGGGGAACAGCCCATTCTAGAGAAAGGGGATAAAAAAACTCCAAGTCCTGGGAAGTCCGCATTTTTTTGGACACCTTCCCCCTTTTTGAGCCTTTCGAGCCTTGCCTTTGCACATGGCCTGCTCCAAACTCTTTGGAATGTAATTTATCTTCTAATAATGGGCCCTTGAGCTGTTCTTAACTGCTCGGGCCTACTTCTACTTCTTTGAAATGTACTATCTCTTCAAATAAACTACTTTTTCAGTACTTTACTCCGGCATCTCGCTCAAGTCTTTGCTCGAGATGCCAAGGACCTGGACATTGCGCCGAGAAGGGCCCACTCTCCAACAACAGCAAGAGTGGCCCCTACAGCCTCCCCTTCAACACCAAGTGCAGGTGCCTGCAGAGGTGTCCGCGAGAGAGCAATTGAGCATAACATTTCTTCACAGTGGTGGCCAGGTCCTTTCCAGAAAATTATTGAATTGTTTGCTCATTCTCTTTTCTCCACAGGGACCTCTTCTGTCCTTCTTACCAGGGAAAAAGTTGAAGGAACACCTGAGTTCCTATCCTTGGGGAGTATAGCCCAAAGTGGCTATGGTTGTTACTGGACAGCTAGGAGGCCTCTATCCTCTCAGCCTACGTCCAGTTACCCACCTACCTCATCCTGCCTTCCTGAGACAGACGTCATGTGGGTGGGAGGGCACATCAGCACCCAGGAGTTCCAGAGAGGCCATCAGATCCCCTGCTCAATTCTCTGGGAATGGGCCAGGGCCAGATGGGATGCAGGGCAGGCTGTGATGCAGTGGAGGTTAGCAGTGTGCAGCATCTCAGTGGCAAAGGGCCAAAATTTCACTTCTGCCTCCTCCCACATGACAGCTTTGGACCTGCCTGATGACTCAGCCAAGGCAGACCTCATGAGCACTCCAGCCTCTTCCCTAGAGAATCACCAGGCCACTGAGACTGCCTTTCCTCCAGCGCGGACTGAGCCCCAACTTCCCACCAGGCACCAGGCAGAGCTGGGGCTAAGCCAGCAAAGGGAACAGGAGCCTACCTTTGTCATGCACCTTTCCTGCATCCCAGAATGGCTCTTCCCCTCTTTCTCCCTGCTCCTCCCCCTGCTGTTCACCCTGCCAGCAGGCAGCCCACTCAGGGTCAGCAGCTGGAGGCCCGAGTGTGTGCCTCGTGTGGGCAGAGTGGGCGTCGCTGCTGCAGGAGCCAATGCTTGAAGCCCCAGCGACGCACTGAGAATAACAACCAGCTCATGAGATGAGGGCTCAAAGGGCAAGTCTTTGTCCCCCAGGATGAGCCATGAAGTCAGATAATGCCTGGAGAGAAAGAGGAGGCCTGTCCTCCATGCTGATTAGTGTGGGGTGAGGTGGGGTGAGGCGTGCTCTGGGAATGCTTCAAACCAAGGAGTGTCACAGGAGCCACCAACTAACGCTCAAGCAGAGGGGGGCAGTGATTTCTTCAGAGGTGACAGGGAACATGTTGTTTGAGTTTTTTGAAACATTGTTTGCAAATGGATTTAAATGAAGTCAGTTGCCCGCCCATCCATTCCCCCGACCACTTATCACTGGAGGGTGTGGGACCGATGGGTAAACAAGACAGTCTGGCCGGTGGGAAGCGGGCAATCTGGATCCGCAGGTCACAGGAGACCTTCCCTCTTGGCCCTTGGGCAGCTGCTGGAGTTGGAGGGCTGGGGGCTGGGGTCTAGCCCAGTGTAGGCCACTTGCCTTCCAGATAGAGATTCTGAGAAAAAGCCTCAGTGCCGAGGGCAGACGGAGAAGTGCGGAGGGACTGTCTGGGGGGCGTGGCTGGGCTCAGAGACCTGTGGGGTCACAGACTTGGTATCTGAACCCCTCATATTAACATCATGATCATGAAGCTCTAAAGTGTCCTGGGGCAGGTTCTCCCAGGATCTGCCCCTCAGTCTGGAGACCTCTTGGGCCTCTGTCCTCACCCAGTCAATTCCTGCTCACCTGTTTAGACTTTGGGGCCTCCTCCTCTGAGATCCCCCCCCCGACCCCAATTTACCCTTGTCTAATCCTCACCCTCCCCTCATACTGGGATTGCCTATTTATTTGTTTCTTCAGGAGGGAGGAACTGTCTCCCTAGCTCATCTTCACATCCATACCTGTGGATAGCCTGTGCTCAGTAAATACTTTGGGAATGAATGAAGGAACGCATGAACAAGTATCTAGACCTTTCTGAATCTGGTGTTCTCATGCCCAGCCTCTTGTTGCAGGCCCACCATTTATGGAATCATGGTCGGTCAAGGCTGAAGGGGCGTTCAAGCTTCCATCTCTGTCCTTTTCCTGACCCTTTTTACAGATGGGGAAACGGAGGCCTAGAAAGGCTGACTAACACTCACCCAAGGTCAGTTATTACAGAGGTCATCACACTCTCACTGTGGAAAGAGCAGAGGGTCAGGCCCCATAGGCACCATGGAGGGTAACAAGGCAGCCACCCAGCTTCACCAGCCAGTGGGAGCCTGCAACGAGACAGTAGATGCAAAAGCACTTTGTGGACAGTGAAAAGTCTGACAGGGGTGATGTGAATGAATTTATCCTGGTTTCCCGTGTTTCTCTGACCCACCCAGAAAAAGAAAACCAAAGCAAAGTGGCATGTGTGCTGTTTTCCTTTTAAGGAGTTACATTCTTTTTTTTTTTTTTAAGATTGTACTGGGTAATTGGAGGGGAACAGTGTTAAGGAATCGGGGAAGGGGAACAGACAAGTTGCTGTCCTTTTGTTCTTCAGTCTAGTTGTGGAGGACATTGCTTCACTGGCCCAAGTTGGCACCATCATTGCGCTCTTCCTGGGTGAGGCAGATCAGTCACCGGCCCTTGGATGGCCGCTCATGGTGGCTCTTGGCAGCTCACGCCGGCTGCCAGCCACTCATGGTAGTTTGTGGCAGCCCACTGCAGCCTATGCCATCACTGGTGACTCACGCAGCCCAGCTCCAGGTCGAGCTGTTGTTCACCATCTTAGCTGTGGAGGGCGCAGCATCACTGGCCCTCATATTGGATCTGAACCGAGACCCTGCTGCTCAGAGCTGGCGTCCCAAGACAACTCTTAACCAACGAGCCACTTGGCCAGCCCAGGAGTTACATTCTTGAAGAAGCAGACCTGAGGCCTAACTCCAGTCAGTGACCCTCTGCACTTCTGTGCCCCACTGGGCACCACTGTGAGCCGTGCCTGCCTCTCAGGCCTCCTGCTTCCAGAGCATTACACAAAGTACTCATTTCGCCCTAGGGGCCTCTGTACAGATTGACAGTTTTACAATGAGGATTAATTTATGTGTTAATTTAAAAAGTAAAATATATGACCAATCAGATAGTTTAGACTACTCTCCAGGTCCTAGAGTCCATCTACTTGCTCATTGTGGGTATTTAATGCGGTCTAAGTCACACACACACATACACACACACACACACAGGTTACACACACACACTTACTTACAAATAACCTAACACCTTCACCCCTAATGCCCTCAGCCACATCCTAAATAATCCCATGGGGCCCCCCTCAAGAGCCTGCAGCAACTGAAACTGAAGGGAGCTCAGAATGTGACTGTGAACCCCACACTGACCCAGGGCAGGGTCTCTGAGACCACCTCAGGCAAAACCTGGCTTCTGAGCTGAGAAGTTGGACAAAAACCCTGAGGTATGCTGGGAGCCTCTCTCAGAGGGCCAGATCACCTTCTGGAGAGAGGCTTGATTTTATTTTGTGAATTGAAAGCATTTTCACCACAGAAACACTATCAAGAAAACCACAAGGCCCCTGGTCCACAGTGCCAAGCACTCCTGGGCAAATGTTTTAAGGCTGGGTACTTGGGTGTGGTGGGCCGGGGTTACTTCGGAGCATCTCAAGCCAGGGGCCATTGCTTCTGGCCCTGTGCCTGGGGATGCCCCCTTCAGCCCCAACAGCCTACAGATGTGTCCTGCTTTCCTCCTCCACTGAAATAAGACTCATCCAGATCTTTCTATCAAGATAAATTTCTTCCTCTAAAACATTCATTTTAAAAAATTATATTCTGGTAATTCTCTAAAGATATGTGTTTCCCAAGACAACAGCTTTGCTTTTTGTGGAGCCTGTAAGCAGTTATCAATTACTTCAGGTCAAAATTGGATTGTCTGTGTCCTCGTGGCTCAAAGTGGGGTCCTTGGAGCAGCAGCAGCAACATCTCCTGGGTGCTTGCTAAAAACAAGGATTCTCAGATCCCACCTAGACCTCCTGAATCAGAGTCTGCATGTCAACAAGCTCCGGGCGATTTGTGTGCACATGAAAGGCTGGCAAGTGCTGGTTTAGCACAAGTGCTGGCTTAGCCTGGTTCTCGAACTTGGTTGCACCTTAGAATCCCTTGAGAACTTTCAAAAGTATTGATGCCTGGGTCGCACCGCCAAGACTGTGATTTAATTGGTCTGGGGTGCAGCCAGGTCATTGGGGTTTTGAAAACTTCCCTGGGTGATTGTAATGTGTAGTCAAGTTCGGAACCCTTCATTCAATGGCCAGAGAGCAAGGCAGCTGGTCAGCCAACTTTCTTATTTGTGGCTGACCTTGCTTCTCGCTTCACAGAAAAGAAGAAAGCCATCAGCCCCGAACTCCCTCAACTTCCACCCAATCTCCCAGTGTCTCCCCATGTCCCCACCCCCCAGGAGAAGATGAGATGTCTCTCCCTTTTGCAAGGCTAACTTCCCAGAGACCTATGCAAAGAATCGTGCTCTCTTCCAATGACACCCTATTCTGAGTCTATTTTCTACTTTCGATCCGTATTTCAGTTACACCCTCAATGACTGACTTAATTCTGTATAAATATCACCAGCCACTTACTAGGAGTTAAAATGAGCAAAGCATAATTTCCATCCTTTAATATAACATGGAAATGGTTTCACCATTCAGGAACTGATATGCACTAAATATCTAAGAGGTAATTCCAACTGGGCAAAAAAATGGTTTGGCTTTCCCCATTGGGTATAATAATTATCAATTACTTGTCCCACTGGTTAAATTTTCTGAGCTTTAAACATCAGCACAGGTCCTTTCTACTGAAGCTGTGAACATAATTACCACATAAATGTCTTTCCAAATTGTTTAAAATATGAAGAATACACAAAATAGTCACCCACCTTATGGCTGGTTGCCTTTTACATCCAGAGGTCTACACGGCCATAGCCCTCCGAGGTAATATGACCACCCAGGTTAGCTTTGGAAGTAAGTTCCCTCACACCTTGCTTAATTTATTAAAACAGTGGTGGCCCCATGGTTTACGACTGAGCACCACCTTCGTGAAGATGGACAGTGGCTGTGGGGATGTCTGCCAGAGAAGACAGAGTCCAAATTCTTAGCTGTGATGTGATACTGGTGAAAAACAGAAGAGACAGGCGAGTCCGGCAGAGGAAGCGGTGGGCCTGAGCATCATAACCTGGCCATCGACTTCCCTGTATGAAGTCGATGCCATAGTCTTCCCTGCAAACAGGGTGAGGTCATCCCGGGGGTGCAATAAAACTTATGCTCGTTTTATCACCTTATCCTTTTTATTCCTATTTTTTCTATTTTATAGCATATATAATAAATACAGGAAGACATAATTGAATAATATGTGTGTTGAGGGGGTGTTCAAAATTTTTTTCTGATAGGAGTGCAAGAATGAAAAAGTTGAGACTCGGCTAGAGAGGTGACACTCTCATGGCCCAGTGAGAGTTCCAGGGTCCCCCTGCTTGAAAAAGTCTTGGGGTCACTGGCCTAGTTTACCCCTCCCATTTTGCAGACCAGGAGACTGAGGTTCAGAGGTTGAGTGAGGCTCAGAGGTCGTAGACTGCTCCGACTCCCAGACCTGTGCTCCTTCAAAAGCCCAGTCCCTCCCCCATAGCCTTGGATTCAAATTTCACTTGAGCCTAAGGGGTCCCTTGTCTCATCTCTACCGTAACCAGCATTGAACACCAAAGTGTGCAGGATGGTCTGATTCAACCATCAAAATGTCAAATAGAGTTTACTGGGTGAGGAGCTTGATAAAAAAATGAACTAAACCTGAGTTTGTGATACCTAATAGACAAATGACTGAAATAGAGGAGATGAGATTCAAGACACACAGTTGAGCTTTTCATGATAGTGGGAAAGTCACTTTATATCCCAGGGACTCAGTTTCTTTTTCTGTAACATGGGGTACTGTCTCACTCTCATGGTGGGGTGGAAAGTCAACTCAGACCTCCCAGGAGTGAGTAGTATCTGCTGAGAAGGAGTCAAACCTGGCCTTCTAGGAATTGCTGTGGGCCATGAAGGATGGGGAAGTATGGGCATTCAGGGAGAAATGGAGAAGAAAATTGCATAAAAGGGTGGAGGGAAGGACAGAACTGTGAGGGGATCTTGCTGGGCCACTCACATGATCGCTGAGAAAACTCCACTCCCATCCTCCCAACTCCAGGCCACAGGGGGATCAGGTGAGCCACCTGGAGAGAGGGACCAGGAACAGTGAACATGGAGCGGCTGGAGAAATGAGGCGGGTTCTTCTGGCAGTTTGGGTTCATCTTTAAACCAAGCCAGGGGGACTAAAGGCTGAAAGGAAAGGAGAAGATAAGAAGACCTCTCCCTCCAGTTTCAGTTAGAGCATGGTTAGTCTCTCTTGGGACTCAACTTCCCATAGCAGGGCAGTGTCTGAGGGTTAAAGACATCAGAGCACTGGCAAAGAACCCACTATATGCCAAATGTACCTACTATGTGGTCCCTGCAGCGTCTCAGGTTAGGGCTGGGCCTCGCCAAGTAAACAGATTTGTGGAAATCTGGTTGAAATGAGAGACAATAAAGCTGGAAAAATGTGAAGAGCACAGGGAAAACTTCACAACTAAAGCCAACAGCTCACAGGCCTGGTTTTCTGTCGGTGGCTTTCGCTGGGTTCTACCAGAGCACAAGAGGGATTTGGGAGACTGCCTGGGGAAGGCACCACTTCTGGTGCCTCCTTTCTTGCCCAGGTGGAGAGTGTCAGCTGTTTCCGATTGCATTTCATACTCTGGGTTACCTCCAGCTTGCCCACAAAGGACCTATGGCAGCCCTGGGGCCTTGCAGGCCTGCGTGCAGGGCTGGAATAGGAAACTAGGTTCACATCCATTCATTTATTATTTCAAAAACTATCTGAGCACCTACTGTGTGCCAGGCATGAATTTCCTATTCTTCCACCCTGGTACTATTTTCTCTAAGGGCTCACTGCCTTCTCTCTTGGCTCCATTCCCAAATTATTAAGCAATTGATATTCTCCCTGGGTTATCTGCTTCTAACAGGGCTCCTTCGAGACCCATATTTCTTGCAGAGGTAAAGGAGTAAGACTCTAAAGAATGCCAGTCTATAGAAAGCAATGGGAAGAGACAATAGTTATTGCAAGGATCTCTCTAAAATAAGGAAGAAATGCTATTTTTTTTCCAGAGACGGCTGCCTCTGAAACTAAGAGGAAAGAAATGCCCTCCTCAGGTCTTGGTGAACCTTGGTGGAAGGTGAGAAGCA